CCCTAAAAAAGAGATCTTGCTATTTTCAACAACATGAGAGAAATCTTGAGGGGACTGTGCTAAGAGAAATAAATCAGACAAAAAAAGACAAATACCATATAATATCACTTATATTTGGAATCTAAAATCAAACTAAAACAAAACAGAAAATGAGCCCACTGATACAGAGAACAGTTGATCAAAAGAGGAGGGGGGCATAGGGGGTAGGCAAAATGGATGATGAGGGTCAAAGGGACAAACATCATTTTAAAATAAGTCCTGGGGAATCTAGAATGTGACACTAGTTAATAATACTATATTATACATTTGAAAGTTACTAAGAGAGTAGATCTTAAAAGTTCTCATCACAAGAAGAAAAATACGATCATGTATGGTGATGGATGTTAACTAGACTTACTGTGGAGATTATTTGGCAGTATATACAAATATCAAATCATTATGCTATATACCTGAAACCAATATAATGTTACATGTCAACTATATCTCAGTAAAAAAATTTAAAAGGAGAACCATAAATTTGAATTTTTCAAAAGATTAGAAATGTAACAAACCACTCAGTCATAGACTGAGTCTATGTGGACAAAAGAAAAATTTTCATGAAAATGTCTTAACCAGTGAGTGTTCCCGACAGTGTTCTGTTTTTCAAGTGAAATTAAGCTTTAAGTGGAAGTTTTAAAGGCAGTTAAACAAGGGAATACAAATACTCACTGAAAACAAGTTTATGAAGAAAGCCAGGAGCCTCTACAAACATTTCCATATTCACCTTGGATTTATTCCTAGCAAATGTCAAGAGTCTCCTGTGTAAAATTCCGCTGAGGGAAGAGATTCACTGCCAAACGGTCTGGATGTATTAGAAATCCAGATTAAAAGGAGGCAAAGTTAATGGGTTTGCAGTACAATTCTTTCATTCCTTAATTAGGTAAGTTCACATACAGTTACTTATTTGGAAAAAATATTTTTTTTTCTATAAAGCAATATTTGGATTTTAGTTCTTATTTCTGTTTTCTTTCTGCCATTTTCTCTCATGCGTATGGAGTAAAATTTTTATACTACCACAGAAACTGAAATGGATCAACTAAGAATAACAACCAAGCCCGGCTGGGAGTGGCTCAGCGGTTGAGCGTTGACCTAGGATCCAGGTGATCGGGGTTCGATTCCCGGTCAGGGCACATGCCTGGGTTGTGGGCTCGATCAATGACTCTCTCATCATTGATGTTTCTATCTCTCCTTTCCTCTCTCTGAAATCAATAAAGTTGTTTTTTTTTTTCTTAAAAGAGTAACAGCTAAGACAAATTTATGTGAAAAGCAGGCATATGGGTGTATCTATATTGAGGGGGTGGTAAAAAAAAATGACTAATTACATTTAGAAATAAAACCTAGTTAACTTAAACTATATTATTTATAGATTTTGGAAACTCAGATAAGAGCTGACCTAAATTTTCCTTTTACACTTTTATTTTTTACTTGATAAACAAGACTGTAAGAGAGAATTATTATAATATTTATATAGAGCATTAACTTTGAAAGAACCAAGAAATGTATAAAACAAGCATGCTAACATCATAAAAGTTTATAATTGAGTACCTGTTGTTACATAATTACTAGAGTAAATGATGATTTTTATAAATACATTTATTTTCTATTTTGTGAACTTCCTATCAACAGCCCTTTTAAAAATATATATGTGTTTTGATTGATTTTTGAGACAGAGGAAGAGAGAGGAAGAGAGAGAAACATCTATGAGAGAGAAACATCAACAGGGATCAGCTGCCTCCTGCATGCCCCCTGCTGGGGGATCAAGTCTGAAACCCAGGCATGTGCCCTGACAGGGAATCGAACCACCAACCTCCTGCTACATGGCCTGATGCTCAACCACTGAGCCACACAGGCAGGGCTACAACTCATTTTTTAGTTGAGATGTTTACCTCTACCTCATTCACTTCTAAGAACACTAAGCTTCTGATGTCTTTATCTGATTCATAGTTATCCAGAAAGCCATTTGCTTTTGCACTTTAGTTTATGGTAATAGTTTCCCCCTTATAGTCATATCTATCTGATGTTTCTTTTAAGTATTTTCTTTTATTGTGTAGTTTTAAGATATCCACTTTAAGGTTAAACAAATATCCATTTACATTTGCTTCTTACATAGAAAAACAAAAAGAGGAGGTGATAGAAATGTATGGCATAGAAGACTGGGAAATTAATTTACCTATTCCTTTTCTGCTACTCAATTAAAAGGAGAAATTATTTTGGTGATTATATTTTTTAAATAGCTTTTAATCTTTTTAATGTTACTATGTAATTCATTTCTGTGGTAGTCATGTAGTCAATACAAAAATTATAGAGATGCAGACATGGCATATCCATGCAAAATAGAAAAAAAATTCAAATATTTATACTAAAACTTTTTCAAATGTTAACGCTTTTGTTAAACTTTCTTTGTATATTGGGCAATATCTAAATGCAATGTGAGCATAAAATTTTACCTGAAATGCACCACAACCTGACAGTATTCATGCCTTTTATGAATTGGTTCTTGTGGAACACAGGGAATCTTTTAGAAGTTAGGTAAACTTACAGAAGCTAATATATGTAAATATCATGGGTAGAAATTTTCCATTTTAGAAGCAGTATACCACTTTTGTTAAGAACACAGGCTTTGGCTCTAAACTAGATGGGTTCAAATTGCAACTCTGCTGTGAAACAGTTATGTGATGTAAAGTAAACTATTTAACATCTGTGCCTCAGTTTCCTGTTACCTAAGAAAATAACAATACTTAACCTCACGGGATTTAGAGAAAGTTCAAATAAGTTAATACATGTAAAGCACTTGAAGCACTCTACATGTTAACTATTTTTCAGAATTGTTTTGCATATTTTAGTCTCATCTAAAAACCATGTCAAAATTTTATATTTATTTATTTATTTATTTATTTATTTAAATCCTCACCCAAGGATATTTTTTCCATTGCTTTTCAGGGAGAATAAAAAGGAGAAAGAGAGGGAAACATTGATGTGAGAGAGATACATCCACTGGTTGCCTCCCATGCCTCCACTGGGGCCAAGGATAGAGCCCAGGGCCAGAATCCAACCCCAGACCCTTCAGTCCATGGGCCAACGCTCTAACCACTGAGCCAAACCGGCTAGGGCCTGTGTCTACATTTTCATCAAAGGGAATGAAACTACAAAGAATTTGAGTTTTAAATCTCAGAACCAGGGTTTCACTGTTATTTTTCATTAATTGCATGGCTTATACGCACCCGAAATAGAATAAACATATAACACAAAAACTATTGGAAATGCAGGAATAACATGATTAAAAATACCTAAACAAAAGCTTCTCCTGTACCTTTTTTAGTATCAAACAGCCAAGTATGCCAAAAATAAAAATGCAGCTAACAAACTTTTAAAAACTGTAAATACTTTCTTCCTTAAACAGAACATGTGAATTCTTTATATTCATAGAACATGTACAAAAATTTACCATGTACTTACATAGAAACCATAAAGTTATTTGAAATATTGCAGGCAATGTTCTTTTACCGCAATTCAACAATATCAGAAATAAAAATAAAAGTGACCAAAAATGTTAAAACACTTGAGAATTAAAAACTCATTGATAATTCATGGGTAGAAAGAAAGCAAAACAAATTACATATTATATCAGTGCTATAGATATAAGAACAGGTAAACCCAAAGCTGTAGGATACAATGAAAGTTATACTAACAAGAAATATTGCAGCCTTCTTTCTCTTTATTATAAAGAAGAAACTCACAAACCATAACAAAAGAATGTAGTACTCTTTGTACAAATCTTAAAAGTCAGAAAAAAATAAGCTGAAAAAGGCAAAATAAACTGATCAAGATACAAGCTCAAATTAATGAAATAAGAATAAAGTATAAAAGCCATTAAAACAATATAAAGTGTAATACTTTTTAAAGCGCAATAAAATAAACTTCTTTTGAGTCTGTTCTTGGGGGAAAAAGTGTGTATGTCTGTTTATGTATGATTAGAAAGGAATATTTTTAAATTAAAATAATTAAAGAATATATAAAGGCATATGGCAACCAATTCAACTCAGGGGAAAGAATTCCCTAGAAAAGATAAAAGTTATTAAAAACTTATCCAAATAGGATTAGAAAGCTTGAATAATACCCATACAAGAGTTTGAAAGAATTTTAAAATTACCATTTTTAAAGAGACCAGGACAATGTTTCACCAATGAGTTATAATTTTTAAGGACCAAAGGATTCTATTATTATTTAAACTATCCCAGGCCATACAAAAAATACTAAAATCTCTCCTAGTTATCTATACTAAGATAGTTAACATAATCTTAGTATATCTAACAATAAAAGTATATTGTTAGTATATCTAACAAAAAACATATAAACAATAATTCAATGCCATTAAATAAAATATAAGCTTCAGCAATATATAAAAGGACAATATAATATGATCAAGTAGAGTTCATTCCAGGAACACAAGAAGGGTTCAGTATTAGGAAATGTATCATCACCATTAATTACATCAACAAATTGAAGGATAAACCATATGCTTATAATAAAGAACGACAAAAAGTATTTCATAAAAATTCAGCCATTCCTAATAAGAACAGAGTAATTTAGTTACCAAATAAAAGTATTTAAACATAACAATTCTTAACAAAAACATTAATACACATAGAAATAATCCTTATACGTCTCTAATTAAATGTCTGAGAAACTCTTAATACAGCAAAATACCTAACCTATGGTAAAGTTAGGCAGTGGGAACTGAGAAAGAAGGACAAATTGGAAATTTTCTACACATATATCTCAAACCTACACACACACACACACACACACACACAAAAGCATAACATATCTATGTATACATTGACCTATGCAAATACCATCAAATTCATACATAAAAATGTATGTGTATCCCCTTACAAACAACATATACACCATACATAATTATACATCTGTATTTATTCTACATTAAAATACTAGTTTACCTGTTTGGGCAGTCGGAACAAGGAATTCTTATAGAAAATGTCCTTAGCCTGGCTCCATGTACCATCGATGATGATGATTGTGGAAGGATAAATGGGAGAATCTAATATAAATTCTTCCAAATTAGCAGCTTCAGCCCCCGGATATAATATTAATGTACCAGACTTCTGACAAACAGTTGAAAGTTCAGGATCTCTAAAAGTTTAAAAAAAAAAAAAAAAAATNCGACAAACAGTTGAAAGTTCAGGATCTCTAAAAGTTTAAAAAAAAATCTTTATTACCTTGTAGGGTGACAAAAAGCTTTATTATTCTTCTTGAACTTCATTCAAAAATACATATCAAACATTTCAGGACTGGAGATGTAATAAGATAGCCTCTTTCCACAAGAAACAAAACAAACTTGATAGGGAANTTCTTGAACTTCATTCAAAAATACGTATCAAACATTTCAGGACTGGAGATGTAATAAGATAGCCTCTTTCCACAAGAAACAAAACAAACTTGATAGGGAAGGAAACAAGTTAAAGGGTCAATTAAAGACAAAATGCTAGCGAGGATGTGGAGAAAAGGGAACCCTGGTACACTGCTGGTGGGAATGCAAACTGGGTGCAGCCACTATGGAAAACAGTATGGAGGTTCCTCAAAATATTAAAAATGGAACTGCCATTTGACCCAGTGATCCCACTTCTAGGAATATATCCTAAGAAACCCAAAACACCAATCAGAAAGAACTTATGTACCCTATGTTCATAGCAGTGCAATTTACAATAGCTAAGATCTGGAAACAGCCCAAGTGCCCACCGGTAGATGAGTGGGGGAAAAAGCTGTGGTAGCCTGGCCAGCTTGGCTCAGTGGTTGAGCATCAACCTATGATCCAGGAGATGGAGGTTCGATTCCCAGTCAGGGCACATGCCTGGGTTGCAGGCTCGATCCCCAGTGGCAGCATGCAGGAGGCAGCCAATCGATGACTCTCATCATTGATGTGTCTATCTCTCTCTCCCTCCCTCTCTCTGAAATAAAGATATATTTTAAAAAACAAACAAACAAACAAAAAAGTTGTGGTACATTTACATCATGGAATACTATGCAGCTGTAAAAAAGAAGGATCTCTTACCCTTTGGGACAGCATGGATGGAAATGGAGTATTACACTAAGCAAAATCAGCCAGTCAGAGAAAGACAAGTACCACATGATCTCACTCATATGTGGAATATAATAAACAAAATAAACTGATGAACAAAATAGATGCAGAGACATAGAAGCATGGAACAGACTGAGGGATCTCAGCGGGAAGGCGGGGGTGGGGGAGTGGATGGGGTGAGATTAATTAAAGCACTTATATGCTTATATGTATAACCTATGAACACAGACATTGGTATCGGGAAGGCCTGGGGGTGGGGTGGATGCAAGGTGGAGGGGATCAATGGGGGGAAAAAGGGGACATCTGTAATACTTTCAACAATAAAGATAAATTTTTTTTAAAAAGACAATAAACAGCATCTCCTTCAAACCAGTGAAAGGTATCTACAAAAATATACAGCCAATTTCATATTTAACAATGTTCCTTGAGATTAGGATCAAGGTAAAGATGTTGGCTTTCACCACTCCTAATACACATTGTCCTGAAGGTCCCAATTATTGCAATAAGGCAAGGAGGGGAAAAGGCATAAAGATCTGAAAGAAAGAAGTATAAATGACTGTGTTTGCACATGATAGTACTACTTACACAGAAAGTCCCAAGGAATCTACAAAACATTTTCTACAACTAATAAATGAATTTAAAAAGTCATTGGATTCAGGGTTGATATATAAAACCCAACTGTTTTCTTATATACTAGAGGCAAAAAATTAAAAGTAAGTATTTTTAAATTCCATTTATAAATGATACCAAAAGCAGTATGTCTCATAATCATTCCCCAATGGTTATATCACATACTCTAAGAAAAGCTTAAATTAATCATTACCAGATTAATATTAAATCAATAATCTGAGTGAGCTTTAGTTTAAAATCTATCAGTGAAAAATAAAATAAAATAAAATCTATCAGTGAATAATAATTTACTGAGTAAGCACTCTATTAGGTACCATGGGAAAAAATGAACTGCTTAATATAATGGGCTCAAAATGGGATGAGCTATTTGAAAAGTGCCAAGCTTCTCATCCCCAAGCATATTCATGGAGGGGTTAGATAGCCAAAATGTCAGGGATGGCCCAGATAGTTCCCAACTCTACCAACAAAGGTGCTTATTTTGCAATGAAATAACCTAGATCCAAGAATTACAGAGAAACTATCATTATAAAGAGCCTCTGTGTGAAAGAAGTATCACAGTGTAAATGATGTGGCTGTTCCCCATGTAATGAGCTCTGGACCTTGCTTCCATTCCCAACAAAATGGCACAATTCCCAATAGCAGCACCAAGCCCAGGGTGAATTTCTCCCCTGTGGACAAGGCAATGCAAAAACTACAGCAGAAAATTGTATGTAAGAAAAGTGTGTCTAACCAACAGTTTCAGAGAAACTAAAAACGATTATATAAAGTTCTAACATGATGTTATTTTCATTATAAGAGGCTAAATTATAAAGGTAGCTAAAATAATAAAGGAAGGAAAAAGCTTGGTCCATTCCCTGGGCTTCATGCTAGTACAAGTCTTACTTAGCATTTTCATAAGTGAACTGAAAAAGAAATCTTCATATTTTCAAGAGAAATTAAATTTTGCATCTAAAAATATATTTAACTGTGTAGACAGTATCAAAGTAATTTGTGAGGCTTTGTAATTGGGCAGAAAAGCAACAAAGATGATTCAAAGGTATAAAAAGACTTGTAGAAAAATTTAAATACATATAATATATATTTATGATAATGGTTTATAAAATACAGTGTGAAATAAGATCCAAGAACATTACAGATCTGTTAATGAAGATATCAACTAATGACGGCTGCACATAAAAATACTGGGCCTTATCAAAAACAATATTTTAAGCCCTACCAGTGTAGCTCAGGGTTGAACATCGACCCAGGCACCAAGAAGTCACTGGTCAATTACCAGTCAGGGCACATGCTCAGGTTGTGGGCTCGATCCCCTGTGGGGGCCATGCAGGAGGCAGCAGATCGATGTATCTCTCTCATCGATGTTTCTCTCTCTCTCTCCCTCTCCCTTCCTCTCTCTCTAAAAAAAATAAAATCAATAAAAACCCCCAATATTTTAAATATTACAGGAGAAGGTGTTTTATCCTTAAAAATACATGATGTGCCTATAACTAGAATACTAAATATAGTTCTAGTCACTGTACTTTAGGAAAGACTTAATGGGCTAGAAATGGGTAGATATGTGTTTACTTCTATAAATGCATCTCATCTATAATATTAAAAAAAGGAACAAAATCTAATACAAGTACTCTACCATCTTAAACAAAAATGAAATAAATAGTAAACATATAAGTCTTTTAGGCTCAATATATATTAGTATGGAATTCAGATAATGCTGTCATTCCTTGGTTTATTTTCACTTTGGTCTATTTGGAGCAGGTGTTTTTGTTTATGTTTTGCTTTATCTTGCATTATTTTGAGAGAAAAGGCAGAAGCTAAATTTTTTGCCCACTTCTAATATACTATGTTCTAGGTCTAAAGGGTGAGTTTAAAAAAATGATTTTTAAAGATCTATGTAGAAAAGCATTATTTTAAATTGCCCTAAAAGTTAGTTTACCTTTCTTCACTAAAGCGACGACCAATCTTGACTTTACACTTGTCCGGGGGTAGGCATGCTGCTAATAGAGGAACTGTCCGCAACACTTTGCTTTCCTTTAATTAAAAAATTAATTAAAATGTAGATTTTTACTTAGACAAATACACTCTTAAAACTTTTATGATGAACATCTGATTCATAACATTATACAGAATTTTCACAAGTCCTTTACTACAGACTACACTTTAATAAAAAGAACTACAGTCTCTCTGATTTATCAGTAGTAAATATACTACAAGTATACATTTTTATTCTACTTGGGTATGTTTAGAGCTTTACTGATCAAAACAAGATAACATTAAATCATAGTTAAAATTATTAAAAGTGTAAATTTGTGTTTAACTAAATTGAATCATTTATTCTGAAAAACTTTTTATTCCAATAGTAATTACATTTTGTAGTATGTCAACTTGAAGATAACTGCCTAGATCTTTATGCCCAAAAAGCAAGGAAGTGTTCTAGAACCAAAATGATGGGGTATATCAATGCCACAGAGAAGCGAATCTTAAGAGCCCCCAATGGCCAAACTGGAACAATTTGAGCAACAGAGTAAGTAACATAGTATTTGGATTATAATCCAAAGTATAAAATAGAGTCCAGACTGATATAAATAAATGGGAGAAAAGAGACAAACTTCCTTATAAAAAAATTCCAAGTAGTAAACGTAAATAGTCCCCACTCCAGGAGGCAGAGCTTAATCTCTCCCTCTCACTTGAGTATGGGCTGAATTTATGGCCTTACTTCCAAAGAGTAAAGAGTATGGAAATACAAGAAAAATAATAATTTAGAGTGGAAAAATATGGTGACCATTTCTGTAAATCCCATCAACTATCACAAGTGGTTTTTTCAACACCCTAGCATCTAACACTAAAAACCACCTTTCTTGTTGTCACAAGAACTCTATCCTTAATCCCAGTAGAGCCAGGTGATTAGCTATTCTGCCTTAGTCTGTAATTTTCTTGGTTATTGTGGTCTATAGTGCTCAGTCACTCTCCGGCTCCTCATCACTGGTCCAACTGGGAATGCCATGCTTGATCAAATAAATAACAGAGCCCCTCTCTAATCAGTTTACCTACATATAGCCCAATATCATCTTTACCAATTTGTATAATCCTTCATATATATATATATATATATATATATATATATCTTCACAGTGAATAATTTGACTATTTTTCCGTCTGTAAAAAAATGACAGTGTCCTTAAGGAATATGAAATACTATTTACTTTACTTTAGGAATATCATTTATCTAGCAAATTAATACACAAAACAATAATGTTACATAGGAATTTACTAAAATAATTAAAAATAAATAAATTTGTGCCCGGCCGGGCGTGGCTCAGTGGTTGAGCATCAACCTGGGATCCAGGCGATCGGGGTTCGATTCCTGGTCAGGGCACATGCCCCGGTTGCGGGCTCGATCAATGACTCTCTAATCATTGATGTTTCTATCTCTCCCTCTCCCTCTCCTTTCCTCTCTCTGAAATCAATAAAGATATATTTAAAAAATAAATAAATAAATAAATTTATAATTAAATTATTTGTTTATAACAGAAAGAAAAAATATTGCACTCCCCCTGCCCCCAGCAAGCCACCGACACTTCCGCAGGATAGGGTTTGTTAAAGTTGTCAAAAATAAGGCCTACTTCAAGAGATACCAAGTGAAATTTAGAAGACAAGAGGGTAAAACTGATTATTATGCTCGGAAACACTTGGTAATCCAGGATAAAAGTAGTAAGTACAACACACCCAAATACAGGATGACAGTTCGTGTAAACAACAAAGGTATTATTTGTCGGACTGCTTATGTCCGTATGGAAGGAGATATGATGGTTTGTACAGCTTATGCTCATGAACTCCCAAAGTATGGAGTGCTGCACATTGCACAGGCCTGTTGTTGGCCCACAGGCTTCTCAATAGGTTTGGCCTGGACAGGATCTATGAAGGCCAAGTGAAAGTGACAGAGATGAATACAATGTAGAAAGCACTGATGGTCAACCTGGTGCCTTCACCTGTTATTTGGATGCAGGGCTTGCCAGAACTACTACTGGAAATAAAGTTTTTGGGTCCCTGAAGAGAGTTGTGGATAGAGGCTTGTCTATCCCTCATGGTACCAAATGATTCCCTGGATATGATTCAGAAAGCAAGGAATTTAATGCAGAAATTCACTGGAAGCACATAATGGGTCAGAACTTTGCAGATTATATGTTACCTAATGAAAGAAAATGAAGATGTTTACTTAAGAAACAATTCTCTTAGTACATAAAGAACAACGTAACTCGAGACATGATAAAGAAGATGTGTAAGAAAGCTCATGTGGCTATACAAGAGAATTCAGTCTACGAGAAGAAACCTAAGAAAGAAGTTAAAAAGAAGAGGTGGGTCAGGGCACATGCCCGAGTTGCAGGCTCGATCCCCAGTGGGTGTCATGCAAGAGGCAGCCGATTAGTGTTTCTCTCTCATCAATGTTTTTTTCTCTCTCTCCCTTCCACTCTCTCTAAAATCAGTAAAAACATATTTAAAAAAAAAAGAAGAAGAAGAAGAGGTGGAACTGTCTCAAAATGTCTCTTGTCCAGAAGAAAGACTGGGTAGCTCAGAAGAAGGCAAACTTCCTCAGAGCTCAGGAAAGGGCTCCTCATAGGTAATAAACCACACCACAATTTTATATAAAGATCTTTCAGATACAGACAACAATATATTTATTGACCAAGCAGCAAAAACTAAACAAAAGTATTGTAGTAACAGTATTCAACAACCAAACACATACACACACACACACACACACACACATATACACCCTTTAGGTATGTACATTTTTGTGTGTACTTCTTTCACTCCCAGGTTCCTGGAGTGTTGATTAAAGTCATATGTAAAAAATAAATTTAAAGATGCTGAGAATAGTTAAATTCATCTACCTGATAATGGAAAAGAAAATAGGAAAGAATTTGCTGAGATTTTTAAAAGAACATGTAACAAGCTGGAGTTCTGAGGAAGCATGAAAAAGCAATTTAGAACAACTAATATATAAATGAAACTAGGAGGAGACAGGTGAGGTGGGGCCTTCTAGGACATTTTACAGTGTTTCATACTGTTTTCTTCCCTCTCGACCATCACTAGGAGACTCTGACACATACTGAAATCACTTCCCAAACTTTTATCAAATTAACACATGTATATATGTCAAATTAAATAGTGCCAAAAAATTTATAATGTTCCTCAATACACTCCCCTATAGCACTTCCAAAGGCAATCACTTTAACTCTTTTAGTTATATCTTTTGGTAGTTATCTCCATATTTCTAAATAATATGTGTTTTGCTATTTCTTGATTTATTAATTTTATAACATCAAATAACTACAAACTACCATTTATTATCATCATCATAACTAACTTTAATGTTCATAATTCAAATTGTATTTTATAAATATATTTAATTTACTGTTCACAATCAACCTGTAAAGAAGTATATCTTTTAACAAGTCCATTTTACTAAATGACAAAACTGAAGGGAGGTTAATTAATTTGCCCAGGGCTACAGAGTTTACAGAGTTATTAAGGATTTAAACTCAAGCAATCTGGCTCCTGAGCCCTTTCTCTTAACTACTTGCCCTTTATAACTACAGCCTCTCATAATAAATGAGGATTCAGCTTTCTGACATCACTCCTTACCCTCAAGTCTTCTAATATTATTTTTAATCCTCACTTGAAGACATGTTTTGTTTTATTTTGGGGTTTTTTTTTTAAGTGATTTTAGAGAAAGGAAGGGAAAGAGAAAGTGAGAGAGAAACATCAATACACAAGAGAATCACTGATTGGCTGCCTCCCATACACACCCTGACCGGGTATTGAATTGGAACCCTGGGTACGTGCCCCGGCTGGGAATTCGACCCCACCAACTTTCAGTGTATGGGATGATGCTTCAACCAACTGAGCCACATTGGCCAGGGCTTCTAATATTTTTAGTTAAATCAATAAACAGTGTTTACATCATTATGGCTACATATGCACTGTTCACAAATGTCGAAGCAGTTTAACATTTCTTTCCTGTAAAGCTTTTTGTTACTTTTGAGAAACTGTTTTGTTTTCATCCTTAAGTAATTGTCTACATATATATATACCTACTCTTTGAAATGCTCCATCATATAACCTCCACATAATCTATCAATGCTCAATATAACAGGAGGGTACACACAACCCACACATGGGGTAAACCTAGAGCACTTGGCTCAGGTAACCAGGGAGACTGTGCCCCACTACATAAGGCCACTCTACTAAGACTGGGAGATATAGCAGCTCTAGCTAATACCTAGAAACAAACAAAGAGGCTGCCAAAATGAGGATAAAGAAACATGTCCCAAGTGAGAGAAAAGAACAAAACTCCCCCAAAAAAACTAAACAAAGTGGAGACAAGCAATCAACCAGATTCGGAGTTTAAAAAACTGGTTATAAGGATGATCAATAATCTCAGTGAGAACTTCATCAAAGAGACAGGAAACATAAAAATGGAGATAGAAAAAATAAAAAATAACCAATCAGAAATAAAGAATACAGTAATTGAAATGCAGAATAAATTACAAGAAATCAACAGTAGAGTAGATTGAAGTAAAGGATCAAATCAGAGATATGGAAGATAAGAAAGCCGAAAACACCTAATCAGAGCATCAAAAAGAAAAAAATTTCAAAAAAATGAAGAGGGGTCTCTAGGACAACATCAACCACACCAACCAACATTCACATCACAGGGGAAGCTAACTGTTCAAAGCAAGAAATTGAAAACCTATTTGAACAGTTAATGATGGAAAATGTCCCTAACTTGTGAAGGAAATAGACATACAAGCCCAGGAAGTGCAGAGAATCCCAAACAAGATGAACCCAAAGAGGCCCACACCAAGACACATCATAATTAAAGTGCTAAAGGTTAATGACAAAGAGAGAATCTTAAAAGTAGCAAGCGAGACACAATTAGTCACTTACAAGGGAACTCCCATAAGACTATCGATTTCTCAACACAAACTTTGCAAGCTAGAAAAGATTGGCACAAAATATTCAAAGTGACAAAAAACATGGACCTAGAACTAAGATTACTCTACCCAGCAAAGCTCATTTAGAATCAAAGGACAAATAAAGAGCTTCCCAAACAAGAAAAAGTTAAAGGAGTTCATCATCACCAGACCAGTATTACAAGAAATGTTAAAGAGGCATCCGTAAAAAGAAGGAAAAAGAGATTTAAAATATTAATAATAAAAAAGTAATAACTACATAGCTATCAACAATTACTTTAAATGTAAATGGGTTAAATTCTCCAATCAAAAGACCTAGGGTAGCTAAATGGATGAGAAAACAAGACCCCATATGGTGCCTACAAGAGACTCACTTCAGATCAAAAGACACACAGACTGCAAGTAAAGGGATGGAAAAAGATATTTTATATAAACAGAAACAAACAAAAGAGCTAGGGTAGTAATACTTATAACTTACAAATCAGACTTTAAAACAAAGGCTAGCCCTGGTCAGGTGGCTCGGTTGGTTGGAACATTGTCCCATACACCAAAAAAGGTTGCAGGTTTCCCAGTCAGAGTACATGCCTAGGTTGCAGGTCTGATCTCCAGTCAGGGCACATACCAGAGGCAACCCATCAATGTTTCTCTCTCACATTGATCAATCTTTCTATCTATCTATCTATCTATCTATCTATCTATCTATCTATCTATCTATCATCTATCATCTATCTCCTTTCTCTCTCTCTCTCTGTCTTCTGCTCTCTCTCAAATCAATAAACACATCCTTGGGTAAGGAATAAATAAATAAGTAAATAAGTAAATAAATAAGTAAATAAATAAAAAATAAAACAAAGGCTATATATATAACAGGAGACAAAGAAGGACCCAGCAATTCCACTTCTGGGTATTTATCCAAAAACACCCAAAACACTAAATTGAAAAGACATATATATTTGTATGTTCATTGTGGCATTATTTACAATAGCCAAGATATGGAAGTAACCTAAGTGTTCATCAACAGATGAATGGATAAAGAAGAAAAAGTGGTGCATATATGCAATGAATGGAATATGACTCAGCCATAAAGAAGAACATCTTGCCATCTGCAACAACATGGATGAACCTAGAGGGTATTGTGCTGAGTGAAGTAAGTCAAACAGAAAAACAAATGCCATATGATATCGCTTATATGTGGAATCTAAAAAATAAAATATACAAACAAAACAAAAACAAAGTCATAAATACAGAGAATATTTTGATGGTTGCCAGATGGAGGGGGATTGGAGAGATAGATGAAAAAGGAGAAGGGATTAAGAGTACAAACTGATAGTTATGAAACAGTCATGGGGATGTAAAGTATAGCATAAGGAATGTGGTCAATAATATTGTAATAACTATGTATATATCAGATAGGTACTAGATTTATCTGAGTGATTACTTCACAAGTTAACTAAATGTCTATAATCACTATATTGTACACATAAAATTAATGTAAAATTATATGTCAACTTTAACTGAAAAATCAAAATTATGAAATAAAAATAAATATGCTGAGAGTTACTTCTATTTTAACAAGAAAAGACATCAATGAATATAAGCTGTGATCAGAAATTTTAAAACAATGATTTTCCTAGTTCTTTAATCACAAAAATCTCTTATTTCCTTCACACAAAATTGTTGAAGTTCTAAATTTCTATACTATTCAATGACACCGTTTTTATGAAATAACATCATTTTCTCTATCTCCAAAGCAAGCAACACTATACTATCACATAATATATAAAAGAAACTATTTTTTTCCCAAAGAGAAAGATTTTATCATCAATTTATTTCTAGAAATGCCAAATAGCTGGGAGGAATAAATATGTTCATCTGTGTGTTTCCTCTTGTATACTAATATTCTATTTGAAATTGTGTATTTTACAAAATCTTACTCACCTCTGCCGGATGCTGAATTATGTACAAGTGGGTGGAGATGTGCAGAGGATGCATTGGTAGAAATGGACATAAACACACTTTCTGAGGTCGGCTAAAGGGCATAAAAAAAAAGAAAGCCTATAAATGTTTACAATACAATGATATTACAATAATCTAAAACTCGAATATAATCCAACATCATTATATAAAGAAATTTACTGAAGTTGCATTCTTTTTTTTTTCAATCCCCACCCAAGGATATTTTTTTTATTGATTCTGGAGGGAGTGGAAGGGAGGGGGAGAGAGGAAGAAAGAGAGACAGGAGAGAGAGAAATATCGATGTCAGAGAGCCACATCAATTGGTTGCCTCCCGCACGCACTGGCCCTGTTCAGGGGTGGGGAACCTGCAACCCAGGTACATGCCCT